CCTCATTTTGCAATCGTACACAAATGATACTCCTATTTTTCACATTTTCTACTTCTCCGTGTGTCCAAAACGAATCCTTGGCTTTACCTCTGATATATCGAAATACAGAGTAAGGTCAGAGGAGAACTCACCAGATTCCAGGCATGATTATTTGTTGTGCAAGGAAAGCGCATTCTGTCTCTCTCTCTATCGTGAGATTTTCCTTTACAAGCTCTGCGAGATGTACATATTAATCTGAGGAAGGGTTCTCCTTTTTCAACTTAATTCGCTCGTTTTTTGTGGAGTCCGAAGTTTATCACGCGACAACCGAGGAGTCAGAACGTGCTATATGTACCATGAAGGGTGTTTAGCCATCGTCTAACCATCGGCTATGAAAACATGGCTTAGGGATCGTTCACGCAATCGAAAGTAGACAGCGATTAAACGATGTTTTCGTAGACAATGTTTAAACAATGACTATCGATAATCGATGTCTAAAATAAACATCGTTCATGCAATCTGCCCAAAGACTCTCTCCTCGTCCGTCATTCGAGACATGACTCCCGCAAACCCACTCTATGCGTCTGCTCCTTCCATCAAACTGAGGTCCATTCGGTGCACACAGCGCTCATTTAAATCACTTACGGCGAGGAGATGACCTCCTGCATGCACTAGCTGTCATCGCGTCATGGCACCAAGTTTTCCAGCGCCACCTCTTATATTCTTTATCTAATTGCATGAAAGTTGTGACACGGGTATTTATTCTGCTTGCATCATTGGGAAGCTGAATGAATGTTCCATATGGAGATAGTATTGCAATTTTAGAAAACTCTCGGATACCAGTGCTGTGAAGCGTTAAAGATAACCCAAGCTTTTTTTGCCCACCCTGTGCATGCATGCCGAGTTTCATTGAAGTTGGAGGGGGTCGGGAGAAAAAATGTGCGGACTGATATGGAATCACCCAAATAACAGGGACAAAAATAGATGCACCCGGCAGCCGGCTGAAAATGGACAAAAAAAAAAATTCCCCAACGTTTCGACACGTCTTCTTAGGGGAAAAAATGTCGCCTCATCACATGATAGTCTAATTATTGGAGTAAGGTTGGAAAATATGGTAATTGGCAGCAACAAAATAATCAGATTCCTATTCAATCCTCATACGTGGGTCTACCCCTCGAAAATGTTTTTCATTATCTGGAAATTCCATTTCTTTGGGTTCTTGAATGTATTTTCTTTTCCACAAAGGATATCAGCCAGGAGATCCACCAATGAATGCGGCAGTTGATCGAAGTACCACGACACGGACAGATTGGGAGCGCACCTCTTGCTTTGCGGGTCTCGGTCCTCGGTCTGAATGTTGTCCCTGTCTCACCGAAGGCACGTTGCTTGCACTCGAGGAATTGCGGTGGAATTGTCCCGAGGAAGAACTGGTGAGAAATGGAGCGAATTCGTCTCTCCTAGGGGTGGTGGCGTTCTGGGATTCACGGCAGAACGGACAGGTTCTCGTCTGAGATTGTGAGGATGAGAAAACGTGAAATATCATGTGGTTCGGAAAAAGTGCGGCGCGATTTAGCATCCTGTAAGATATGGAATTTCAGCAGGATAATGCTGGCTACGGTCTAAAACAATGGGTGGTAGGTTATCACAAGTGGTACACGTACTGACAGTCAATTAGGTTTGCTTTCTATCTATTAAAGGAGGTCTTCCCTCTTCTTTTTAGCCGCGAACAGTGCCTTGAAAGGAATCGAGGGGATTGCTGGAGATTGACATAGAGGTCTTACAGATTTTTCCGGTACTCTGTAGAGGACATGCAAATGCCCTTCAGTCGAAAAACCTGGGCAAAGGGAAGAGACGCTCTGAAGTATTGGAAGATTTGATCGCGAAGGGAGGCACCAGCGTCGGTAGGTAGTGGTGACTTGGTCATCGTCCAGGGAGGTCGAGAGGTCGAGGAAGGAAACGCATCGAGGAGAAGCGGTCAAAGTTAATTTCATGGTTTTTCGCGAAAGTGGTTCACATGTTGGATGAAGTCACCTAAGATTTCCTCTCCGGCAGTCCACCAAAATGTCGTCTACATGACGACCATAAACCAATGGTGCTTGAGGACTCGAATAAAAGCAGCCACCCCTCAATGATCGGCAATGAAGAAAATGAAAGAAGAAAGTGTTGACCGTCGAAGACAAAATTATTCTAAATTCATCGTGACAAAGATTTTAGTGACAATTTGGTGCTATCGTCTTCATGAAGACCTTTGTTGTTTTGTAAGATCAATTAAGGCTAAAAAAAAAAAATATGTCGTCAGAAAACCCAGATCGGTACTTGGCACATGTGTCGTAATGTCTCTGTGCCAAAGGATTTTTAACCAGCTTCCTGTTATTACTCACTTCCCTGTCACTCGTCATAAATCTTGTCTGGAGCTGATAAACTGGGCTTTGGCCAACTGGTTCAATGATAACTCATCTCTTCACTGCCCCGGATGTTTGGAAAGAACTCAACGCATTTAAGGGAATTCCTCAGCAAAAAAAAATTTCAGTAGCATTCTCCATCTTCGTCTGGGCCTTTTTTTTAATGCAATTAAATTTGCATTCTCGGGTGAGGATGGTGGTGAGACCAACAAAATAGTCGAGAATGCATTCGGGAACCAAAAGATATTTGACGTTCGATGACAGGTTGATGTGAAAGGCTATCGGGTATCCAAGGAGAAATCCTGTTGAGGCGGAATCCCCGGAGGAATCCCCGTTGGCACCAAAAAAGGCCAAGCAGACACATTCCGCCGACTTGTGCTGCCGTTGTAGCTGAACAGCGAAACACTCCAGCGTCTTACGTCCCTTACAAAACGTCCACCTCCCATATGGATTTGGAACCATGTGGATGTCCCCCTAGGCGGTATTTCCACCTGTTGGAAGGTGTAAGGGACCTCATCCCTCGACCAGATTCAACGTCTCCCTTACTCTTCTAGGGTCTTCCAGACGAAATTCAGATGCAGGGGGACGAGGAGGCACCGAAAAGCACCATGTGGCGATCTTTCCTTTCCTTCTTTCGAGGCGAGCTTTCCTCCCTTCCCCACTACGATCAGCGTGAAACTGCAATACTCGTACATGAGGCAGAAGTCGAGAAGACGGACAGCGACTGGACTGGACAGGACTGCTCAAGCGAATCGTTTCGCGTGACCAGAGAGAAGATCCTTCCGGAGGATCAGAGGATCCGAGTTCATTCGGAGGCAATATTTGGTTCCAATTTAGCAAATATCCAATGTCGTGTCACCGTAGATCTAGCCGTCAACGTCCCGTCTTCAGAGCTCTCTTGGCCAGGAAACGGCGATATTGAGGTCGGATCACACCTTCACCTATCTTGACTCATCAAGGCGTGCTCAAAGCAGCGGATGGAGTTAATAATGTAATATTACGTGACTTGAATGGATGAAAATAGAGCTGTATCGATCTCACAAGCTTTTAAAAAGGACAATGAGTTCCAGTGAAAACGTTGCGATCTCTTCGATCTTTATAGGAATAAGCGCACCTTCTCCTTTGCTTCGCTATATAACCGCTCTATGACATGTTTCGTAAATGTTTACAGCGCTTTCTTAAGATTTTCAGACCTGATAAAATTTGTTGCACTCTCGGCGCTAAATACTTCGTTCTCCTTCCAAAATAATCAGCACACAGGGCATAACATATTTGAATACCCTCAGTCGTGTCATCGTAGGAAGGGTACGAATAATTTTTAATTAGGCGCGAGAGATATCACCACTTGCTCCTAGCAATCTGCATAACGTCCGAAAACCACAGAGACACTGCACGTTGCTTTCCACTCGATAACGGAGAGGGTTAAGGCACCGGTAGGACGTATTCGTCCTCACTTCGTCCTCTTTCGATCTGTCCTCGTCGAGTCTTTCTGCAGCTACGATCAAGGAGGAATACGCTCTTCAGCGAGAGATTCTTTTCTCCCTTGGAAGGAGCGGCATCGGAGCGTGGGATTAAGTACGCGGGGAAGAGGGATTTTCCCTCCTGACATCCCCGTTGCTGGCGCCGTTCTGGCTGCCAGATTCCTCCTGCTAAGGAGGAATCTGGCAACCAGAACTTCCTGGAACTTCCTCGTTGAGAAAGCATTCTAAGGCGTTCTGTGAACGGTTAACTTTTCTTTTCGTCTGTGCAAATAAGCATCTGGAAATGTGTTATAGTATACGGCCTGCAATGTCCTACTACAATAGGATTGCATTTAAAACTAGTCGGATTTGAATTATTTAAGTGTAATGAAAGGAAAAAGAATGACTGAATATGTCTCGGAATCAGTTCTCTTCTTGAGCATATCAGAAGTCATCAGAAGTCAGAAGTTCACAAGTTCACTAATGAAGAAAAAAAGAAGAGTGTCGGAACTGTTAGACTGGCCCCGTGCCCTGCAGAGAACTTTTGTTTCCAGAATCACCTGGGAGCACACTGCTTTTGAGTGCATAATGAGCACCTCAAAGGGCGTCGGGAATGTCGCCGAGATGTTGCGTGGGGTTGCTTCATAGAAAAAAATGTTCCACCTCCAATAACTCTACGCAAGAAGAAACACGGCTTGCCATTTATTACGAAGAAACACGTGAGAAGACCTCAGAGAATACTCTTGTACTCTGGAAAATGTGACATGTTCCAAGAGTGTTGCTTTTTTCGGGTTCTATTGTGTTTTTCATATGCTCCAGGGAGGAGAATTTCTTTTGCAGTGCTGGAAAAGTCAGCTGGTCCTTAACCCCCTGTTATCAGCTGAGCCCATTTGCTGGAAATCCTTCGTGCATTTTTTAAAACAAGAGGGGATGTCTCGGAGGATTTCCCCGTCCCTTAGCTCATCACACTCCCTTCCTGAAGGTCAACTACATCCAAGTCCATGAAAAAATCAAGCCCTACGACTACTATTTTCATCGCACTCGTGGGGATGGGCTTGTCAATTCGAACCTGCGGAGGAAGTGTTTCCTTCGAATAAAAATAACGGAATATAAAGATACACTGAATATAGGCAACATAGCCTGTGAATCGGTACAGACAATGTACAAAGAATCATAAATAAAATTGGGTCTGGTGTTCCTGGCCCGAAAGGATGAGATCTTATAGCAATTGCCCCACAAGGGTATTAAAGCGTTTGATGGCATGAATGTCGGAAATACGGTTGTCATTTATAAAGGAAGAATTTCTATTTCATCGGATGTCTCCGTAGCAATCCGGCATAAACTACAGCAGGGGAGTTTCATCATGATGGTGTCATAGGGCTCTAGACTGTGAAGGGGCTCGGGCAGGAAATTCCAATTCCTGAGGACCGGAGGCAACCAGTTGGATCGCTTTCTCTGAAGGATGTTGATGACGACAGCGGCGATGAGGGCCAATAGGAAGGGACCTCCGAACCCCACCAACACCCACGTACCGCCGAGGGAAAGAAGGAAGACGAAGAGGGGAAAGAGGCAGAACATGACGACTATGTACAGGGCTGCGAACCATCGATACTTGGCTGTCGTCTCGCCCAAAATCGTGGCCAAAGGGATGGGGAATCTCATGAAGGGAACGACGTAAAAGAGCAAGATTCCGGTGACGTTGAAAAGAAGGTGACAGAAGGCGGCCTGGAGTGACTCTTTCAATTTTTTAGGATCGGCTGCCAGAGCGGCCAAGATCGCCGTGGAAGTGGTACCGATGTTGGATCCCAGAGTCAACGGATACATTCTTTCGAGCGAGATGACCCCGATCCCCACCAGAGGAGTCAAGGTCGACGTGAAGACGGAGCTGGACTGAACGAGGAACGTCATGCCGGCCCCCACGGCGATGGCGACGTAGCCGGTCAACCACGGAACACCTGGCAGCTCCGCGTTCACGTATTTCTTCGTCGCCGCTGCTAACGGGCCTGCGAAAGGGGACATTTGGGATCGAGCTCAACCTACAGGAGTGAATCTTGTATCTGCGAAGCGTTCAGTACAGACCTTGGAGGATGAGGTTGAGCTTGTTGACCATGGTGAGGAGGCAGTATATCATCAAGCCGAGAGCCAATACAAGAAGAATCCCACCCACACCAGCATCGCTCATCCCCGTGTCAGAAAAGAAGTAGCAGCCTAAATACATGGAACAACAGCATTCATTTCCTTCACGTACGTGCATAAACCGCCAGCGCACGAATCGTATGAAAACGGGAACAGACATGAGTCGGAGTCGAGTCCCGAACAATGCTTGAGTAGACTGGCATTGTCGTACTCGGGTTTGTTTTCGGCCCACCCAGTCAACACCTTGCTGTCAATCTGTATTTTGAAAGAAAAAAAAATTATAAGATATTCCCAATTAGTTCTTGATATTCAGAACTGCAATCTACGAACTTGAACGATCCGGTCGACGAAAGGATCAGTGATGACGGAGAGGAGCTCGACCTCTGCGTCTCGACCCCCGATGTCTCGTGTCATTATCTCGCTCACTTTCTCTAGATAATCTAGAATATCGAGAATGATCCTCTTTGTGCGTTGATCGAACCGAGAAATCTGAAATTATGAGGTAAAGGACTCTTTGAAGCTCGACGGCCCCTATCTCCCCCACGAGCTAGGCACATTCACCCTATTTACGACCATTTCATCACCATATATATATAAAAAAGGACTCGCGTACATTGACCCACCTGCAAATTCCAATGCTCAGTTCCGATACTGTAACCGAGTTCGCCCTGCACTTCTCTATCTGGCCAGGGATTCCTTAACAGTTGCACCCATGAGCGTCGACGAGCCAAGTACCTTCCCTCCGTGAAGTCTCTGGCTTGTCGACATCCAGGGACCGCTTCTCTCGTAGATGAAGGAGAGCCTGTATCGAACTCGTAGTGCTTCCCCGGAAGGACAGCGGTTGATCGGATCTCTCTTTCCCCAGTGGATAGAAAACAGATCTGTCCTCGCTCCGCCTCGTGCTAGTTCTCTTGCCTCCTTTGATCCCCAAAGTTACCAGTCTTGGCGATCCGTCGTGATTGGTACTCCCATGAGTTCGGGAGGATGGATATGTTCAGAAGCCTCTCTTCCCAAAGCCTCTACTCTAGTGTTGCATAATTTCCCCCTATACTAGGCGCATCTTTTGAGTGTCGTGCCTTGCCGTCTTTACGGCAAACATTCAAAGGAGTTCCGATTCAGAGAGTAATTACAGGAAAATACCAACTATACGCGACGCCGCCAGCGAAATCTCGGCTATCCGCAGTCAGAATAGACGATTGCTTGATCCATAATCCTACGGAATCCCTCCCCCCCACACACACACTCACGAGTGGTGATTTCGACGGGGAGGAGGACGACGACGGAGAGCCAGTTGAACATGTCGTGGATGGTGGCGCCGCTGAAGGCTCGGCGGAAGTCGTCGCGGTTCCCGATTTGGCTCATGGAGACGATCGTGTTCGTGATCGATGTCCCGATGTTGGCCCCCATGACCATCGGAATCGCCTGGCGGACTCTTATGACTATTAAGAGCACAGAACCCGTCAAATTACGATCAATTGTGCAACGGTGAATAAAGGTCATGGATGTTTCATTTTAGCCATTTTTCCCCCCAAAATTGTGAAAATCTCTGTTTTAATTCATTGCTCTTTGACCTCTTCTAATAAGATATTTTTACGATTCGTATTTCCCTGCCAGATATGACTCACTTCCGGCAGTAACCAAAGAAACGATGATGGAGGTGGATGTGGAGGAGCTCTGGACGAGGACCGTGGCCAGGATTCCGATCACAAGCCCCACGACTGGATTCTGCAGCAATTCCGCGTCCGAAAATATCTCACCTTCGTCGTGATGAATAACCATTTGTTTATCTCAAGGAATATCTGGGCATAACGGGAGTAAATCCTTGGGATACCTGCGGCCTTCCCGCCGAGCAGCCGGAAGGAAACGGCCAGGAGATCGAGGGAACAAATGAAGAAATAGAGGGAAATGAGGATGACAACGACCCGCACTGGAAGGAGGACGTAGAACTTCCTCGGATTCTTGGCCTCCTCTGTGAATTTCGAAAGGAAAAGTGAGTCAAATGCGTGGTTGGAATGTCGAAACTGAACGCACCAATTACCTTCAATTGGTAACTATAGTAACAAGTCCTGATGATATTTATGCAACCATTATAATTTTCACGCACTCCTCAATTTCACTCACTCCCGTACTCGCCCCCCCCCCCTCGCTTCAATCTCATTCATTTCACATTCGAAAACGAATACATATATTTTCAACTTCATTCGCGCCCGACCATCCACACGTGAAGTGTATCTGGGTGGATGAACCGTGAGATTACCTTTGGGTTCAACGAAGTGGCTTTTGCTACCGGCCACGGGTCTCTCAGCCCTAAGACTGGAAGCCCCGTCCTCGCGCTTCTCCTTCATCTCCGGAGACCCAAGCGGAGCCTAGAGGTCGGAGACTCCCTCAAACCCTCCACTTACCCTATCGATAAGCCTAAATCGTAATGGGGACTCACCGGCATATGGATGTTGGAGTGGTAGTAGCCCTCCATTGTTTCGGGGACGAACCTGAGGAAGAACTGTGCAGAATGCGTGGGTTCTCCCGAGCTTTTATTCCTTGCTATTATATAATGATAACACGTGATAGAATCGTGGCAGCGGAATTATGGTGGAATAGAGCTCCGAGATACCTTTTCAGGTCGGAAGTATAAATCACCGTTGCACCCTGCTGCAAGCGAGAAACACAATTAAAAACCCGAAATGGGAATTCATCGTAATTGAAATTTGAGGCCTCGTGAACATTTTGGGTCATGAATGACATCTTCGATTTCGTCGGTTCTGGTCCACCATAGGAAGCACTTCGCTTCGCGGAACGAGCGCAAGCAGAAGGCGTGGATATCTGGAATGCACCAATGACATCCCTCTCGTCGAGGGCTCATGAATGCATGAACGCTATCTACAGCGCACCAGCCCTCAAATCACGTGAATGCCCTCATGAGCTCATTTCCGATTCCAGGACCTTGCCCGCATCCAGGAATAGAATAAGAGTCATCGACCTATATATTCGCCACTAAATTTTCGGTTTTTGCGGACGTATGTCACTTGCATGGTTAATTCCCACAGCCTGAATTTAATTCCGGAATAGGGGGGTCTGTGAACGCGTTTGTGGACCTGTCTAGCACGAATTTGATAAATAAACTATGGACCATATAAACTACTCGCTATGGACGCGCCTTTGGCGCTCTATGAACAAAGAAAATTACTAAAGCATTTCATGCATTCGTTTTCGAAGCTTCTCCCTTATGATGCGGTGAAACCCCGTGGTTAATGGGTTTGGCAATTCTCGCGCCTTAAAAATAAAATTGTTTTAGAAAATATTCATAGAGACGTCTTATGATTTCCAGCATGAGGATCACCAGGTAAAAATTCAGTGCGTCGTTTAAGTTTTCCTATATCGAATTTAATTCCTGCCTGTGGTCGTCACGCTCTTCTTGGCATATAAATCTTTAAACAAAAAGACATAAAAGCAGATATATAAGTTCATTACATCAGCGTTTTAACGTAATAAGTCCTTGTACACTATGGGGAGTTTTTTCGCTATATTTATAGATATATTCGGGCACAAGGACTCCAAGGAAGTCCCCTTTTCAAACACTTCTAAACGATGCATACCATGAAAAATCACGTCATTCCATAAATGTAGCCCATAGCTATTCGTTCCCGATTCGTTGAAATGTTTGACTAGAAATAGCATTGGCCTCAGCGTCATGGGCCATGGATTGCACGAAAATGTGCAATCCAGGCTAACATGAACAAGGGTTTGCCCATGCAAGTTCAACTTGCGACGTATACATTTCATATACAGGGTGTCCCATAAGTTAGTTTGCCGAGGGATTTTCAGCGATGCTGAACGCTAAGTGACTTCGTTATTATTTTAAATATCAGGAAGAAATTTTTAAGCGCGCGTCTTCCTTCACCTAGAGAGAATACAAAAATGTGTAACAACAATGGTAATTAAGAGAAAGACAATATCATACAACAATAATTAAATTAATCAAAGTGAGAATAGCTGAAAATCCCTCAGTAAAATAATCTATGGGACATCCTGTATTTAAGTTGGACGCACCTTCGATACTCAATGGTCAAAGAAAATTACTAGCGCATTTAAAGCATCCATTTTCTAAACTCACCCCTAATGATGCGGTCAATGATGCGGTCAATGATGCGGTCAATGATGCGGTCTGTCCTATGCCTACGGTCCATGGGCTGTGGTGTTGCCAGGCCTGAGTCCCAGGCCAGTGACCCTCGTATGACTTGGGGTTCGTGGCTTTGGAATCTGTCCATGGAGGATCTCATTTTAGGAAAGAGAAGGAAATATCGCTCCCACCCTCTTTTCCTGCATTTATTTGAGATGAGTAAATAGTGGGTTTTATTGAAGAGCCTGAAATTTTTGCTTAGCATCCATGCCGGATATTGCTCAATGTCTCATGAAGAAGATCGCTATTGAAAATGAAAAATCATCCTTCAAATCGCAGATTTGAAAATATCCATTTAGCTACGATTTTATTGCTTTTTTGATGATGTGGGAGGGGATGCTCGAGCGGAACATGTTCAGTCTCTCTCTCTCTCTCTCTCAGCCTCTCCTTGTCGATTTCATCTTTTTTCTTTCCAAACTTGCAGCCACGAGGCAGAAACCTCTCGAAAAGAGCAACGATGGTGGAGTAAGTCGAGACGTATTTTTGTATGCAGTGTGGTAAAGTCCCATGATCCGATGGAGCTGGTCGTTTTCATTATGTTGATGTTTTTCACGGCTTTCAATACTTCCTTTTTTATTTTTTATAATCCAATTTTCATGGAAATTCTGAGAGGAATATGCAAGCTCTTTCATGAGTCGATATCTCATTCACTCGAATTGAGAGATTTCTAATGCATGTATTGACTGAGCTTGTGATGAATCGAATGTTTTATCGGATTTTTATGAAATTTTGGATTTGCAAAGAGGAAAGGTATTTTTGCACTCTTCGAGTCAACTTTGATTCCATTTTTTGAACAGGCATAAGAACTTTTCTTTCCTGCTTTTTCAAGAATTATCGCTCCTGAAAGGTTGGGCTGTTCAAAATTTCATCTTTTAAATAGCTGACCATAAAAACACTGGCAAACGAAAGCAAAATTGTTGCTGGCTTTATCAACTATCACAAAAGTATTGTGTATCGGGTGGGTATTTCCTGTAGGAGCTCCTTGAACTTCCTGTCCTGTGATCTTCTTCATAAGACATTGAGCAATAATGGATATCCGGCTTGCATGCTAAGCAAAAACTTCAGGCTTTTCAATAAAACCCACTATTTACTCATCTCAAATAAATCCGGGAAAGTGGGTGGAAACGATATTTTCTTCTCTTTCCTAAAATGAGACCCTCCCTGGACAGATTCCAAAGCCACGAACCCTAAGCCATAGGCCTGGGACAGACCACAGGCTGTGGGCCAAGGGCCGATTTCCTCTTCTGCCATTTATCTCCTTTTCTTCCTTTCACATTTCTAGGTCTTTATCCACAGGGGATAGTTATATTTCGGTTCGAAGTTGGTCCTCTCTGATGCATACTCGGGCTTGGATTGCAGCAAATTTATTACATATCCTGGTTAATGATTCCGGTGCATTGGCTCCTCTCTTTGCCAATTTCTCTTCGATTGAAAGCCTAGGGAAGTAGTAGAACCCTTCGGGCACGAATCTCCACACCAGGGGAAACCTCTTACTGCCAAACAGTAGTCCTGCAGATAATGACTTGGGCATCGTCATGTCCAGATGCACAGAACGCTCTGCGCTTGGTTCCTTCAGGAATCAAATGTGTGAGCCTTGTCCAATTAATGGATTGTGCAGAAGCGGTGCTTGTGGGACGGACTTAAGCTGTGGAAGCTGTCTGCTGCGGCAGCTGCTGTCTTCTTCCTTAGTGATTATTCCCCGGTGTAGAGATGTCGAAAAGGGTTTTGCTACACTGCAAGTTGTTTGGTAGGATCGTGCCCCTGACGAGACTCCTACGACTTCCCAGCCCATTAAACCTCCTTCGATGTCATTCAAAAAGAAGAGAGGTTTAAAAACCTCTCTTCTACTTTTCATGCAATAGTTTGGCCTCATACTGACCGTTAGTCTGTCTTGATCGATGAATTACTAGACTATGGGAATGGTTTTCTCCAGATTCTCAGAGAATCTAGAGAAAACAGATGAATCCGGATTTATTTTCCACATAATTTTTTTCCGAGCGCATTAAGATTTCTTGGCAATCGACACGAGAAATGACAATCGGTACTGTCACATGCGAGAGCCATGTTTGATTGGGTCTTCAGCCGACGACAGGGTTGAAGAATTTTTAGATGCTCTCCCTTCGTTCCGGATCCCTGGAGCGCTCTCTGCGTTTCGCTCCGTCACCGATTGCCGCTCGAGAAGAGTCCAATCGATGGTGAACAGTTTCAGTTTCTCCACCGACGGCTTCATTTCGCAGAAAGGAATTCGGTGGATCCGTCGGGCAAACGCATCACGTGCACGATTCGCCGTGCAGAATTTTTTGACCGTATTTACATCGATGCCCGCGGAGCAACAATTGATTTAACCGTCGACACCCACCGGAAGCAATTCCTCCAGAATAAGCAATTCCAGAATAAGAAAAGCTCAATGAGAGCACTATCGAAAGTGTTATCATATCCCAGCCGGTCATAAAGTTGTATGGACTCTGCTCGAGCTGCCACGTCAGAAAGGATCCCTCTATCGCCCCCACTTAGTCGATGCACGTGCTCGGGCTCGTACGAGAGGTCGAAGATAAAAGGTGGAATTTAGCCTTGAGAGACCATGCTGACTTCACGTGGATGGCAAGTGAAGGAAGCATGCCGAGTGCATTCTGTCTCGCACGTACATCCGCTCACGTGGGAGTTATGCTTCACTGCCGGTATCTCGAATGACTAATGCTTCGTACTTTGCCTTTTGTCGGTCGCCTCCCAAGCAGCATGTTTATGTTAATTTTACGTAAACTGAATGTAAATTTTTTGTCCTTTTTATGTCTATTTTACGCAAACCATCATCAAGATAATGTCAACATGTTTGCAGAAATGTCACCTCTGTAATACGTAAACGGTGATATAAAATTAACGTAAATTTTACGTAAAATTGACATTCCCGTTTACATCCCCAACAGCATGTTNGTTTGCAGAAATGTCACCTCTGTAATACGTAAACGATGATATAAAATTAATGTAAATTTTACGTAAAATTGACATTACCGTTTACATCCCCAACAGCATGTTTACATTCATTTTACCTAAAATTGATGTTAATTTTCCCCTAATATTCATGCGTATTTAACGACCCAATTCGTACTTTTGAAGGGAATTAATACACTGTATTTCTCCCATTCCTTTCCATACTTTGGAACTCAAGGTTACTTGAATGAGTACATGAGTACACAAGTACTCATCCTCACCAGCCCTCAAGAGTACCAAGATGACTCACTAGCTCCTCTTCCAGTACCAAGACTTCGGGAGGGGAATAGATGTTTAGAGGAGCTCACTTCCATGAAG